AAAAAAAAAAAAAAAACACCTTGGTCATGGCAAGCAAGAGAAGAAAGAGGCATTTCAAATACTGTGATACGGTCATTTAGGAAAAAGGCCAAATTTTAATATCTACATCTGACATCTACGGGCCACAAAACCCAGCTGGATTGTTTGGATAGCTGTGTCTCTGTACAAAAATAGAAAGCTCTTTGTACAAAATGTCAAATATATTGTGTACATATAGAATATTGAAGGTGCAAGAAATGGTGGTCTACAGACAATTTCTATTTGAGCTCAGGGAACTAATTCAATTAACTCCTTGAAAACCTGATGTGATTTGCTTTATTCATAACCTAATGCCTCCTCCCACCTTCATTTGTTTCATCAGCTCAAACATCTGCTCTGGTGGAAGGCTGGCAACTGCTTTGCTAATGGACTCAGGGGCATCCTCAGGACTGATGGTCTCTCCATAAGGTGACTCAATGACAGGGGCACCAGTGCCAAGGCCTAATCAAGAAGAAAGTACAAGAGAGTTAGGGATGCAAAACAAAAAGCTAAATCATTTCAAGTATCTAATTTTCTGGGCTGCTGTAAGAACCAGCTGATAATTTTAGATTCTCCAGAGCTGAGAAATAAATGATTTGAAAGCCTCTTGTTTCTGGGGAGAAAAATGAGAGTGTATTTTCTGTTCTCAGAGGAAAGCTGGGGATCATGATCACATGGATGGATAATGTTAACCTAAGTTAGAGAACTGGGCACATTGACTTCTTTGGACAAGTCATTATAGAAACAAAAGGTTAAAACAGAAAAACATGCTAATTTGAAAAATTCCTGGAAACACAGTGACAGAAATGACTAATGCCATAGTTAGTACTACTAATGGCTTAATAAATTTGAATTAATCTTTAACTGGAAATCAACTCCTTAGCAACGGAAAAATTTGTTTTCTTTTTTTCTGTGACAGAGTCTTGCTCTGTCGCCCAGGCTGGAGCAACTGAATTATTTCTAATGTCAACTTTACCTGTTTCTTAAAGATACACTTACTAGCAAGACTCCAGCATGCTTGGGTCTGCAGTGACCCTATGCATTCCTACAGTGCTTGCCAGAGCAGTTTTGAAATGGTTTGAGGCCTTGCCCTGCTCCATCCAGAGCAAGGGTATAGAAATTTCAGAGAATTGCTTCAAAAAAAAAATTTATAAAAAAATTTTTGAAAGATATATGTAATACTTACCTAACTCAGGCACATCATGTCAGTCAAGTAATAAACAAGCTGTGTGGCTAACCATTTCAGCATATTCTAAAACTTATCAGAAATGGAAAATCTTCATTGTTACATCTTTACTAACTCATACTGCATACAAGTTGGATTTGTACTTACTCTTCAGCTCTTCTTTGTTCTTTTCACTGGCAGCATTATCTACTCGAAGTGCTCTCCCACTGAATTCTCGCCCATTCAGGTTCCGCATGGCACTAAGTGCTGTCTCTTGGTCCTGGTATTCACAGAAGCCATAACCCTTTGGCTTTCCTGTCTCTCTATCATATACCAATCTGGAGAGCAGAACCAAGTATCAGGAACAAATGTTACACACATACAGGGTTCCTGCTAACACTGCCATGCTTTAATTGGGCCCACTGTAACATAAATAACCTTATAGCTCTGACTGCCTCACAGAAATATTTTAAGAAACATTTTTAATGAAAAAAACATTTTAGGTAACAGTAAATGTCAATTGTATAGTATATACATTATATCTCAATAAAGTTGTTGCAAGAATGCAATGTATGTGAAAAGTCACCAGTAAAGAAAACCTGCCATTATTACCACTAGTCAAATTAGTGGTGATTTTTAAGAAGCTCCCACCATGAAGTAAAAAGGGATCTCACCTGAAACTAACAACAGGTCCAACCTCAGAAAAGATGTCCTTCAACTGCTCTTCAGTAGCTTCATAAGGAATGTTCCCCACTAAGGAAGAAAATAAGTAACAATAAATTCTGAGTTTATAACCTAGATCTTTAGTGAGAAAGAGTATTTGTCTATTTATATCATCAAATATGTAACAACTGGCTCAAAATAATGTTCTCCAATTCCAATTCCATTGTATTTCTTCAAACCTCTTAACAAAGGAAATACACCACTGAGACTAAATACAAAATGTGCAGATACTCCTAAATGTTAGTTCTCAGACTGATCTGACAAGTGTTAGATTTTTCCTTAACTTTGGTGAAAATAAATACTAAGGCACTGGTATTTACCTAAAGTGTGCAAGTCTCATCAGTGACTACAAAATATAACAATGTTATTTAATATAATTTTAAAAACAGGTTCATATGTATTTCTACACATACAACATTTAAGGGAGAATGACCATGAATGCAGTGGAGGATGTTTAAAAATTATTCTAAATCACTTTGTCATGTCCCTTTCGAAAGGTTCTTTAAAACAATCACATTTAAAAAAAAAAATAACAACTTATTTCAGCCAAAAAGATAACTCAGAATAGTTTCAATCCTTTTTAAAATTCCTCTGAGGAGGTCTTAATAGATCATTCATTCATTCACTTACAATCCATCTCAGGACACCAGGTGGCCGCTACCACTACTGATGAACTAAAATGTCACAGGCACAAAGCAAAGTATGAAAGTACTTAGGAGAGGGCAGGAAGTGAACACTAGGATCTATAGCCTGGGCATATAGTCTGTATTCTGGGACAGAAGGTGAGAAGTAGTACGGGACGGTGAGGAGCTGTTGCCATGCACCTTCTCTTCTAGAGAATAATTAAAGCTCATGAAAGGAGAAACGCACAGAAGCTGAACGCTAGTCTAACTTCCCCAGTGATACTGCGGAAAGGCTACGAGACCTCGGCAGAATGGGAACATCTCTTTGCTCACGAGTCCACCAGGTTGGACGCCCTACAGGATAGGCAGGGAGAACTGCACTCCCGAACCACCATCGGCTACTGTAGCGATTCGTGAGATGGGAGGTGTAGAGGGGCGTCCCTCCCCGTTGCTTGGCTGCAACGAATTCCTCTCACCGAACACAGAACGTAGAGAACGATCCACCGCTGGGTCTCTCACAGTCAAACCCGCCATAGCTCTCTTGATTCGGCTTCCGGTGCATCAAAGCACTCTTCCGTACGGAGCAGAAGCCCAGCGCTGACCACGCTTCCGTACGGCGCGTGAGCCGGAAGTGCCTGGGCGTAACGGACTCAGAGCCCGTCCCCTAACGACATTCTATTAGCTGCTGGCGCGTGTTGCGTCCACCGGAGGACTAAATCCCCACCCTGAGATAACTTCGTTTCGAGCCAAATTCAGCTGAGTCCAGGCTAATTTGAAGGCTTTCAGCCTGCAGACTTCCTTGCTATTTTCTCTTAAGTTGCTGCAAGTACTCGTCAACCACAATAAAGATGGCAGCAGCGGCTTTACCATGGTAACAGGGAAGTCCTTTGCTGACAACTGTGGCGCTTGCATTTTAGTTCCGCCCTTTCAGGGGAGGGAAATGCTGGGGCCCGTCCCAGAAGCGTGCATATTATTTGCTAAAGCTGTGCGTGTATGGAGTGAGATGAGGAAAGGGCATGCCAACCGAGAGAAACATAGCTAAGAAATGGGAGAGGTACAGACCTTTGTCTGTTCTCGTGTAGCCCGTGGGCTCCATGTGGTTCGTGGTGGGGCGGTGCGGCGAGGGATTCTGGCAGGCAGAGTATTGGAAACAGAACAGAAAACATCATTGATCTGTTTTTCCACACTTTGATGCCCGCGCTCCTGGGATATGGCATGCAGGACAGGTCGTTGTATCAACCCGAAAAGGCAGACCCTGCCGAGGTTGGAGGAAAACCATAGGTCACCTAAGGAGGACAGGGTTAGAGGAGGGGCAAAGGAAGGAGCCAAGAGCGCCACCTTTTAGGGACTTGTCTGAAAAGGGAAGACAGTAAAATAACCACGGAATTGGAGGCACGGACGTTTTTTGAATTCCACATGTATTAAAAGTATACGAAATAGGATAAATAGAAAAAATTAAGAAGTGCTACTTTACACCATGGAGCATATCATTTCAAGAAAGTAAGTCTGGTAAGGATGGAAAGTTTCAGAAGAGTATCCCCATTTCTATGACTGTGGAGTCCCACTTGAAATCACTGTGTCCAAGAGGATACCTTGTATAATGGAATAGTGCAAAACGAGATGTCCAGCTCTGTAGAAGGCAGTTTCAAAGAGTTTTGGTGTGAGTCATTGTTCCATTGTGGTGAACTTTTGCTAAATGCATGGTATGGTCGAGTATATATCTAACCCAGTGTTTCGCAAACTTACATGAACAAAAGATTCACCTGGGGTCATTAAGTAAGAGTATAGATTCCTGGGGCTCCACCCAGCCCTATGGAATGGGACTCCAGGGAAAGATCTTGGGAATCATTATTTTTAAAGTGCCGCTGGTGATACTTAGTGTTAGGTAATTTGAGTAACATTGTAGTTATTGAGGTACCTTTATGGCAACATTAAGACACCCATGCTTTCCTTCTTTTCTTTTTCTTTTTCTTTTTTTTGTTTTTAAGTCTTGCTTTGTCGCCAGGCACCAGGCTGGAGTGCAGTGGCGCGATCTCGGCTGACCGCAACCTCCGCCTCCCGGGTTCAAGCAATTCTCCTGCCTCAGCCTCCCGAGTAGCTGGCACTACAGGCGTGCACCACCACGACCAGCTAATTTTTGTATGTGTTTTTTTTTTTTTTTTTATATAAGTAGAGACGGGGTTTCACCATGCTGGCCAGGATGGTCTCTATCTCTTGACCTCGTGATCCGCCCGCCTTGGCCTCCCAAAGTGCTGGGATTACAGGTGTGAGCCACCGCCCCGGGAGGCACTCATGCTTTCTTATGAAATTTCCCTTAAAGTAGTTCTCAACCCTTACGGAGGAGCATGTTTGGAAATGTACAGGGGCATTTTCAGTTGTTGCAAAGACTACTACTAGGGGGAGAGGAGCCAGAGATGATAAATGGACCGCCATGTCCGGGGCAGTTCTGCACAATGAACCCCTCCCCCCATTGAATGCCAGTGATGTCTCTCCCTTTGAGAAACACTTAATATCAGCCATATTAGACCAAATGGACCCTGGATCTGAAGGCTATGTTGCACTGCCAGCCTTGCATAAATAATTTGTACTTTAGCCTTCTTACAACTGTGTAGCTGATCCCAATGAGTTAGTAATAATCAAAGGTAACATTTATTAAGCACTTGCTCTGTCCTCATTGTATTAGTTTTCTATTGCTGTGTAACAAATTTCCACAAACTTAGTGGCTTACAGCAACACTCATTTATTAGCTCACAGTTCTGTAGGTCAGAAGTTTGGGTGGACACGAGTGGGTTCTTTGCTTAGGCTCTCACAAGGCTGAAATCAAGGTATTGGGTTCTTATCCCAAACATTTTTTTTTCTTCTTCTTTTTTTTTATTATACTTTAAGTTCTGGGGTACATGTGCAGATCATGCAGGTTTGTTACATAGGTATACACGTGCCATGGTGGCTTGCTACATCCATCCCCCCATCATCTAATTAGGTATTTCTCCTAACGTTATCCAAGCTCATTTTTCTTGTTGGCAGAATTTGGTTCTTTGTGGTTGTAGGACCAAGGTCCTTGTTTCTTTGCTGGCTGTTGGGTGGAGGGCTGTAGCTCTTAGCTCCTAGGGGCTTCTTTTTGGTCCTTTCATGTGGGTTTCCACATCTCAGAGCCAGTGATGGCACTTTGAAGCCTTCTTTTGCTTTGAATCTCTGACTTCCTCTCTTTTGACAAGCTGGGGAGACCTCTGCTTTTAAAGGGCTCTTGTGCTTAGGCAAGGCCCATCAGATAATTTCCCTGTATTAAAGTCAACTGTGCTATGTAACAACCTAATCATGAGAGTAAAATCCATTATAATCACAGTCTTAGGAATTATGCAGGACAAATACATCAAAGGGTCAAGGAATCTTGGAGCCAGTCAACTCTACCCATTTTATTGATAAACTTGTCTAAAGAAGTTTCAGTAACTTTCCTTAGGTCCCACAACAAGTGGCTAAGGCATGGTTTGAGCTGAGGTTGCTCTGGCTCCACAGACTGCTTAATTGTTATGTCTCCTGCCTCAATATAACTGAGGAAATATGGATGGCTCAGCATATTTTGTCACTGTTTTTGGGAAAGAGTATAGAACATGTGACCTGGTGTTGGTGAGTCCGTGGCTCATAACAATGAGCTACTCAAGAAAAGGGTGGGGGACTTAGCCAGGGCATGTTCTGCTATCATCAGCCATCTGTGGAAAATATACTATTGGTTCTATAACTTCAGCAACCAACTTCACTCTGCTGGTTATAAAAGAGGAGGTGTGTGCAAGGGATGTATCCTAGATGCTTGCTTTTTTGTCTTTAGATTTCACTTATAGACTGTGTGCTAGTGATTCTTGCCTTGGTGCCTGTCTGTGAGAGTCTTTCCCTTCATTGAGATACTACCTGAGTGACAGCATTTCTTTTGCCTCCAGTTAATAGCAAAATGAAGATAGATGGTGGGATGTTTCATGCTGTTGTTGGTGTTATGACTGAGCCTCAGTTAACAATATAAGTATGGTATGAAAAGGTAGGGGGAACACAAGTAAAGAAGCATTTCTCGAAAAAACGAGACTAAATATATAGCATAAATGTTATTTGGGGCTTTGAATGGAAGAGAAAGGGTACCTAGTGGAGAATCAAAGAATTTGCGAGACAGCAGTCATGATTTGTGGAGCACTGGCAGAAAACTTTGTAGAAAAGTCCTGAGTTCTTATACAGTCTTGTCGATGACACTAAGAATCTTGAGTGAGGTAAACATAAGTGAAACAAGCAAAGATATTCAAGACTGTGAGGGCACAGAGACTTGGGTTATTTATTCCAGTCATAGAAGGTTAAATTTCTAAGACTAGGGTAGATACTACTTAATGTTTAATCCATGTTTAAACCTCTTCAAAGAGTCATGGAATAAAATTCCTCATTGTTGTCACAGGGGTTATCTGGAAAGGCAGCAACTTTGAGATAGTTGTCATTGCATGAAAACGGTGTCAGATGAGACCAATAGTATTACTTGTGTGGAGAAATCTTCAATGAGCAGCGCCTGCAAGAGCTAAGGAAACTTGTAGCTAGAGAGCACTTGGATGCTGACACAGATCCTGATCAATATCAGGATGAAGATATCAATTGGTCTGCTCTCTAGAAAGAAATGTCATTCTTAAGTTCTGCACTGCTGCATTATCAGGCTGGTTCTACAGAAATGTCTCTACTTTCTGGGAATATTTGAGGGTTCAGCCCTGAGGCTACTCTACAGAGAGTTGTCTGGTCCATCAAAGCTGGTCATGTTTTAGCATTTTCATTCTTTATTTTTTAGCTAATTAATTTTATTCTCAGTGCATACTATGTATATTTATTTTATTCCTTTCCCAGAATCCCATTCCTTCAAAGAAGGTTCAGAGTTGTTCATCTGTTCAAAGGATGTGTTGTGAGATATGTTGTTTGGTAGAAGGCCAGGGCATTCAACTGAATTGGAGGAAGATTTGCCCTATCCTTGGCCATGGCATGGTAACCTTTTATTACTGAATGAGGACTGCTTCCAAGCCAATCATTGGGAAAAACTGGGTAAGAGGAGGTAGTCTTTGAGTTTTTGTTTTGTTTAAGAACTAGAACAATAAGATATTGTTGGCTAGCACATGGCATCCAGGGTTTAGCAAAATGAAGATGGATATTCACCAGATAGCACTCAGACTCATACAGTGTGCTGTTGGATAAGTGTGGCGGGTAAAGCATGTGGATAATGGTATCAGATTGGGGACAATGGAGTGATAATGACTAAGAAGAGATAACCTTTGTGAAGGGCTGTATAGATTACAAGGCTTTTCTACCTGGATCTCATGTGATTCTCACAAAACCCATTAGATTGTTTTCATATGTTACCTTTTTTTGGTAGTAAAATGTATATAACTTAAAATATACCATTTTAGCCATTTTTAAGTGTACAGTCCAGGGTCATTAAGTACATTCATATTGTTGTGGGCCAATCTCTACCAGCCATCTCCAGAAATTTTTTATTTTCCCAAAATGAAACTCTATACCCATTAACTGCTAACTGCCCATCCCCTCCTCCCAGCCCATAGCCACAACTGTTCTACTTTCTGTCTCTATGAATTTGACTACTTTGGGTACTTCATATAAGTAGAATCATACAATATTTGTCCTTCTGTGGTTGGCTTATTTCACTTAGTATAATGTCTTTAAGGTTCATCTATGTTGTAGCATGTGTCAGAATTTCTTTACTTTTTAAGACTGAATATATATATATATATATATATATATATATATATATATACATATACATATACACACACATACACACATCACATTTTGTTTATTCATCTGTTAATGGACACTTGGGTTGCTTTC